AAAAATAAAAAAAAAAAAACAACACAAAAAAAAAATTTTAACACACAAAAATACAAAAAAAAAAAAATAAAAAATAAAAAAACTTTAACAATATAAAAAAAAAAAAAAACAAAAAAAAAAAAACATTTTTAAAAAAAAAAAAAGACAAAAAACAAAAAAACAAAAAAAAAACAAAAAAAAACCCCCAAAAAAAAACAAAAAAACAAAAAAATAACATAACAAAAAACCCCAAAAAACAACCCCTACCCCGCTTTTTTAAAACTGGGTGGGGGGGGCCCCCAAAAAAAAAAACTGAAGTTTTCCTTTTTAAATTTAATAATAATTTTGGAAGAAGGGGGTTTCAACCCCCTTTCTCCCGGCAAATTTTTGTCGCCTCTTCCCACACGCAAGGCTTTCAAGGAAGAATTCCCGTTCCACTTCCCCCTGGGGGAAAAAGAGGAAATAAAAAAGAACAAGAATTAGAAAGAAATAAAGGAAAAACCCAAAAGGGGTGTGTATATATATGCTTGTAATGTATGTGTAGTGTGACCAAGGAAAGTAGAAAATAGGAAGACCTACCTGTAATCTTCCTATTTTTGAGGGCAGACAAAAGACACCAAAAAACCTACCAAACATGTAAAACGATTAAAGGCTTTCGTTTTTTCACTGCTTGGCAGGGGGTTAGTACCTCCCTGGGGGGGTTGCTGTCTACCAAAACCCACTACCAAAATATATATACTATATATATAAAATATAAAATATATATATATATTAAATACATATTTATATATATTTTTTTTAAAAATATTATATATATATATATTTAAAATATAAATATTAATATATTTATAAAATGTAAAGTAGTGGGTTTGGGAGACAGCAACCCCCCAGGGGAAATACTACCCTCCGCCCGGACGTGAAAAAGAAACCCCTTTAAATGTTTTGCAAGATGGTAGGATTGCTGTTTTTTTTTTTTCTGTCTCCCTAAACACGGGTAGAAAAAACAGGGATACTTTTCTACCCCCCTACTTACTTTGGCACACCACAGAAAACGCAAGCATATATATATATACATACATCTAGGTTTTTCCCCTTTTTTTAAATAGCTCTTGTTTTTCTTTATTTTTTCTAAATTTTCCCTGGGGAAGTGGAAAAAAATTTTTCCCGGGAAGCCATGCGTGTGTATGAGGCGACCCAAAAAGCCGGGAGCAATGGGCTAGAAAACCCCCTTTTCCTGTAACATTTACTAAAAAAGAGAAGAAGAAAAACTTTATAAAACTGGGGTGCTTAAATGGCGTGGATGTAGTGCGGATGACAAGAAAAAAAGATGATTGCTGAAGTTAAAAATAAAAGAAGTTGGGGTTTTGGGGCCCCAAGCAAAAAAAGTGAAGGGGGTATCGGAGTTTCCCGTTGGGGGGGAAATTTAAAAGGGGTTAAATCTGGAGTATCTGGGGTTAAGCAAAAGGGAAAGGGGGACAGTAATGTTGAATGATCATTATGGAAGGAGAAAAAAAGAATATGAATGTGAAAAATTTAAGAATTATGGGGGATTAAAGTAAAGGGGGGAAATGCGAGAAGTGGGTCTAATAAGGTTTTTCACCCGGGGAAAAGAGGAATGCAGAGGAAGAGAGAGATTTTTTGGGGGGGTGTTAAGTGAAAAGAAAAGGGGCCCTTTTAAAACCCGTGAGGGAGAAAATTTTGGGAGAGGACCTGAAAAAATAAAGTAGGAGGGGAAATTTTATGAGGGGTGGGGGTAAATAAATTTGGGGTGCCAGGTGTTAAAAAGATAATGGGAGGGCCCCTTTGGAAAAACTTTTTTAAAGAAAAGGGGGTTTTTTTTAAAAGGTAATTCATATTTTAAAAAAAAAGGATAAATAAGTTTGACAAGATATGATGTAAAGGGGGGGAAAAGACAGTAGTTTTTTTGGATTAAAGTTTGGTAGATAAAACTGTTGAGTAGGGCTTCAGGATGTACATGTTATAGAGGGGCCCAATATATAATTTAAACACTTTCTAATTTTAGCTACCTGAGAGTAAAAGGTAGATTGGAAAACAAGGAGAATAGAAATATCAGGGAAGAGGAGGTTTAAGGTTTAAAAAACAAAAAGAGGAGGCAGGGTTTGGGGGAAGAAAAAACAGCTATTTTAGGATTTGGGTGGGTTTAAAGAAGCATGGCCCAAAGGGGGCGAAGAGGGATGGGTAGGTTTTAAAAAAATATTTTTAGTGTGTTCAAACAGAAGTTTGTGGTTTCAGGGAAAATGGTTCGGGGGGGAAGGGGAACCCATTGGTGGGAAAGATGATGTAAAGGGCATTAAAAGGGGGAAAAAAATTAGTATATGAGAAATTTTTTTCAAAAAAGAAGTGGGTGCAAGGGGGAAGAGTAATTTGGGGAAAAAGAAGAGGGTTTAAAAGAGTGGTGAAGCAAAGTAAAAAGAGAGCAAATGAGAGAGTGGGTGAGAAGTATCAAAAAAAATTTTGTTTAAAATAAGAAAAAGTTTTGGGTGAATTTAAAAAGTTAAGAAAAACCTAGGAAACAAAAAAATTTTTTTAAATTAAAAATAGAAGAGGAGGGCTTATTTTAAAAGGAGAGTTTGGTATTGGGGAAAAGGAGGGAAAAATTTTTTTAGGAATTGTTTAAAAAGTTGATGAGATAGGGAAACTTTTGGATTTCGTGTATAGGGGAAAAGGGGGAAAACATCTTGGGAGGAGTGAGGAAGAGCCAGTTGTGAGTGTGGGGGAAGTTTGGGAGGGAGTGGTAAAATGAATGGGGTAAGGGGAGCCGGGATTGATGGGAAAAAATTGAAAAAAGGGTTTAAAAAAAAAGGGGGGGATATATTTTGGGGGGTTGGGGCAATTATTTAATAAAAAGTATGGAAGAGGGTTAAAGGGCCTAGGGATTGGGAGGTATGCATAGTTTCCTTTTTTATAAAAAGGCAAAGGGGACAAAAAAGAGTGCAAAAATTATAGGGGGAAAAAGTCCCGCTTTAGTATACCGGTAAAAAATTTTTTTTATGGGAAGTTAATTTTTGAAAGGGAAATTTAAAATAAGATGGAGAATGGATAGCAGATGAACAAGGGGGGGCTTTTTTGGGAAAAAAGGGAGGGGGTGTGTGGACCAGGTGTTTAAAAGTGAAAAAAATATTTAAATGAACCCGTATTTAATAAAGGGGGAAAGAGGTCTTTGTGGCATATATGGGTTTGGAAAAGGCGTTTTTGACAGGGTGGATTTGGGGGGCAATGGGCAGATGTTTTCAAGTGTAAAGGTGTAGGGGGTAGGTTTTCTGAAAACAGTGAAGGGGGTTTTTGGGGATAGTGAGGGTCAAGTTTGGTTTTGTAGGGGAAAAAGGGAAATTTTTTTCCCCCGTAAAAAGTGGCCTTAACAAGGGTGTTTGTCACCGTGGGTTTTTTTAATAATTAAAAGAAAGGGGTTTTAAGAGAAGTAAATGCGAGGGTCTTGGGGAAGAGGCGTGGAGTTTAAAAAATAAAAAAATTCCACCCCAAAGGGGGGTTGTCCCCAGCTCTCTTGCTGATGGGCACGTGCTCTTTGGGGGATTTTGAAGAGGGAAATTGCAGAATTGGTGGATGAAATTTTGGGGAGGGGGTGCAAAAGAAGAAAATTTAAAAGGGGAATACGGGAAAAAGTAAAGGTTTTGAGGATAACAAAACTTTGGTTTATGAAAGATTGGGTTTTCCCGATTGGGGGGGAGGGGGAAATAAGGAGGAGGTGAATGTATTCAGATATTTGGGGGTGGACGTATCAGCGGGATGGGTCTATGAAAGATGAGGTGAATCATAGAATTGATGAGGGGAAAAGAGTGAGTGGTGCACTTAGGAGTCTGTGGAGACAAAGAACTTTGTCCTTGGAGGCAAAGAGGGGAATGTATGAGAGTATAGTTTTACCAACGCTCTTATATGGGTGTGAAGCATGGGTGATGAATGTTTGCAGCGAGGAGAAGGCTGGAGGCAGTGGAGATGTCATGTCTGGGGGCAATGTGTGGTGTGAATATAATGCAGAGAATTCGTAGTTTGGAAGTTAGGAGGAGGAGGTGCGGGATTACCAAAACTGTTGTCCAGAGGGCTTGAGGTAGGGTTGTTGAGGTGGTTCGGACATGTAGAGAGAATGGAGCGAAACAGAATGACTTCAAGAGTGTATCAGTCTGTAGTGGAAGGAAGGCGGGGTAGGGGTCGGCCTAGGAAAGGTTGGAGAGAGGGGGTTAAAGGAGGTTTTGTGTGCGAGGGGCTTGGACTTCCAGCAGGCATGCGTGAGCGTGTTTGATAGGAGTGAATGGAGACAAATGGTTTTTAATACTTGACGTGCTGTTGGAGTGTGAGCAAAGTAACATTTATGAAGGGGTTCAGGGAAACCGGCAGGCCGGACTTCGAGTCCTGGAGATGGGAAGTACAGTGCCTGCACTCTGAAGGAGGGGTGTTAATGTTGCAGTTTAAAAACTGTAGTGTAAAGCACCCTTCTGGCAAGACAGTGATGGAGTGAATGATGGTGAAAGTTTTTCTTTTTCGGGCCACCCTGCCTTGGTGGGAATCTGCCAGTGTGATAATAAAAATAATCACACCTCCAGGTCTCTCCTATATAACACTTGACCTCAGTTTTGAATCCATCACCTTACAAAAAAAAAAAAATTGAAATTTTACTCTAGTTCTTGGCTAATAAAATATAACCATGATTGGTCATGGTTTAAGGCTGTCCCAATAATTGAAGAAGGCTAGATAAAAACCATAAAACAGACCTTTCTCAGGAAAATTAAATTTTTCTGCCACTTTGAGGTGTATTTCAGGAGGACACTTCTTGTTTGACCTAATCAAAATCACCTCTATTTCTCTAGTGCATATGTCCTTTTGGTTAATATTGCAGAGAACTAACAATAATTAGAGAAAACTCTTGGTAAATACATCGAATTTGGCCCTGAGAATTCAGAAGAAATTTAATGGGTGGCAAAAAAAAAAAATACACCCTAGTCCTAATATTTTTATATGCAAGATTCTTATATATTGTTCTTCAACAGGTGTGTGGCAAGATGTTAAAAGGCCGTAGCAGTTTGAAATCTCATTTGAACAGTCACCACAGAATCCAGCCCCATGCTTGCCCTTACTGCACAAAGTGTTTCACCAACCGCAGTGTTCTTGTAGCACACCTACGGATTCATACTGGGGAGATGCCGTATGTTTGTCGCATTTGTGATACATCTTTCAGAACACAATCTAGCCTTACACGACATAAAAGTTTGCACACTAACATTAGGCCATATGAGTGTTCTATGTGTTCCAAAGCTTTTAAAACAAAACTAGTGTTGCAGCAACATTTAAAACTTCATTTAACAGGTTTGTTCACCTGTTCTGAATGTGGTAAGACCTTTGAAAGGCATAAATCATTAGCAGTGCACAAAGCATCTCATCATCATGCTTCTCAAAAATTTCCTTGTCCACATTGTCATAAAGCATACCAATTCATCAGTCTTCTTAATCATCACATGCAGGTTCACTCCAATATCCGAAAACATGTCTGTTCGGTATGCAGCGAGTCTTTTGTTTGGCGTAGTGGTTTAGCTGCTCATATGAGAACACATTCAACATCCCGTCCAAAGTGCGACATATGTGGAATGCACTTTGCCTCGGAGAAAAGATTGAACACTCATTATCGTCGCCATAGCAATCCACATCCTCATCGGTGCGAGGTTTGTGGGAGAAGTTTCTCTCATGCCTATCGTTTAGTTTCTCATTCCCTCACACACCATGAGCATAAGGAGTATGCATGTCCTAAGTGTGATGTTGTGTTTACTTCAGCCAAAAAGATAAAGAAACACTTAATCAGTCACAGAAAAGAGGAGCCAAGAATTTGTCAACTCTCTGGTACAATAGAAATACCAAAGTCTACCACATGATGTATTGTATCTAAATATTTGATAAAAGTGCCATGATATTTGCCAAAATGTATTGTACACAGATTTCTAAATACAGATCCACACATTATTCAGTTATTTAATACTTTTTGTAATTTATTTAGATGATGTTAACTTGTAAAAGTTTATGCATCAGTTTTATTTTGTCATTTATTACATAATACTGTAAATAAAAATATTAATTTTTACCAAGCATGATAGTCTGTTAACCTGGCTATCAATATAGTTAGAAAGTAGTATATAAATGGATGGATGCAGTGTAGCTGTTACAGTATTAGAGCATGCACAGTGCTTACCCTTCAAGAGGATTCCTTGCCATAGTGAAAGGATTTTTACCCCCAATTTGACTTGAATTGTGAAAGATGGCCCTGTCACCATTAATGCTGATGCTACTGTTAATCCTGCTATTGCTGCTGATGCCACCACTGTCACAGGTATGTCACCTCTGCTGCTGCTACTGCTCTTATGAAACAAAAGTCCTCCCTTGAGAGTCCCACCCTTAATGCAGATTAAGCTTTCTTAAAAGCCTTCAGTTTGTTACATCCTCTTTGACACATCTCTCCTTTTCTCTCTGCTGATGTCCTCTCCTTGCCATCTCACTCGGTACCATTTTTGTCACCTCTGCTGTTCAAAGCTGTATAATTCTAATGGGTTTGGCTGCTCTTTCCCATGCACATCCTAACACAGTAATAATAATAGACACATGTTTAATGATGGTCACTTGTGTGACTGATGTACTCAATATTGTCAGTAGCATCAGTTGTTAGTATACTGAGGTAAACTCAATACATGAATGTCTCATCACAGGAAGCTCCTTGATGGTAGCAAGGGGTTCTTTCCAAGAATTGGCTTTGACCTCCCTTTCCTTAGATTGACCTTGATTACCTCCCATTTAACTAGGTGCTATATGACCTCTGCCCCATGGGAATAGCCACCCCCTTCCATCCCCCTCCCTAATGAATGTAATATATACAAGTATTAATTCACCTTTCATTTTGCTTTCATTATACACTTGCAGGTTCTGTCCCTTAATGTTTATATTAGGAAATCTTGAATTTTGGTCATGCCAATAATACTATTATTATATTCCTGGGGAAGCACTAACCTAGAAGGATCCTGCAGCATTTAAGGAGAATGGGAGGTAATCAAGTTTTATCTGAAAAAAGGGGAGAGTAGCTGCAGTTCTTTAGATTAAGAACCTTCCAACAACATTAAGGCAACCTATTTATTTGAAAGGGTTACCATCACTAAGTCTCCTCAAGGGAAGTATTGATGCTGGTGAGAGGCTCTTGATCCAAGGAGCTGGACTTGTTCTTCCCCTTCCTTAGATCAAACCTGAATGCCTCCCATTCCCAGACTCTATATGACCCCTATGTTAAGTACTTCCCTCCAATTAAAATAAACCATCAACAAAATAAAAACACCACAAATAAGTACAGTAAGCTATAACATGTGACAAATAAGCACTTGTTAGGTGTAACCTTGTCCTGAGACAGTAACCTCCTTGTGATGGAGGATGGCAGGCTTGTATTCATTTATCTGACCCAATGTTGGTAGGTATCCTTGGGTAAGAATGGTTGCTAGGACCTCCCATGATGCTTTTACCTTTGACTAAGAGTCAAAATGATAGCTACATTATTATAGAACTTCAGTGCTTATTTTTTTTTTTTCCCAACAAGTTGGTCGTCTCCCACCGAGGCAGGGTGACCCAAAAAAGAAAGAAAATCCCCAAAAAGAAAATACTTTCATCATCATTCAACACTTTCACCTCACTCACACATTATCACTGTTTTTGCAGAGGTGCTCAGAATACAACAGTTTAGGAGCATACACATATAAAGATACACAACATATCCCTCCAAACTGCCAATATCCCAAACCCCTCCTTTAAAGTGCAGGCATTGTACTTCCCACTTCCAGGACTCAAGTCCGACTATAGGAAAATAACCGGTTTCCCTGAATCCCTTCACTAAATATTACCCTGCTCACACTCCAACAGATCGTCAGGTCCCAAGTACCATTCGTCTCCATTCACTCCTATCTAACATGCTCATGCACTCTTGCTGGAAGTCCAAGCCCCTTGCCCACAAAACCTCCTTTACCCCCTCTTATATCTTACCCTAACTACCTCCTTTAATTTATAAACTTTCACTTTTCTCTTACTCTCACTGTAGCTACAACTAAATAATTACCTGATATATCTGTGGTTCCACTAAAAACATGCACATCAAGAAGTCTACCTATCAACCTTTCATCTACTAATACATAGTGCAACAAACTGCTGTCATTACGTCCTGTATCATGTCTTGTCTACTGATTCATTCTTTCTTAAAATACCTCTTTCTATGCCAAATTCAATCAGGCTGCTACCCCCCATTATCATTTATCCCTGGCACCCCTAACTTACCTACTATGCCCTTTAAAATGGTTTCTCTCACTTTAGCATCCATCACAATTGCTTTCTTGCTTGGCTCAAAACTCTAAACACGCTTAACATCTCCAAAAATATTTTTCTCCTCTACACTTCTCTCTTCTCCAGGTGCATAAACACTTAGTATAATCCACTTTTTGCATTCAACCCTTATTTTAATCGACACAATCCTTGAATGTATACCTTTATAGTCTCTCTCTTCCATAACTGATCATTCAACATTATCACTACTCCTTCCTTATCTCTAACTCTCTCAGATGCACCTGACATAACCCTTTTATTTCTCCCCACTGAAACTCTCCCTACCCCCTTTCAGCTTTGTTTCACTTCGAGCTAGGATATCCAGCTTATTTTCATTCATAACATTGACAGTCATCTTTCTTGTCATCTGCACATTCAATCATTCCAACTGGCTCCTTTCTCCCATGGTTATCCTAGATTAATTTATATTATATAGACAGTGATTGTGTGAATGATGGTGAAAGTGTTTTTCTTATTTTGGGGTCACCCTGCCTCTGTGGAAGACAGCTGATATGTTGAAAAAAAAAAAAATGTATATAGATTAGAGTTACATAAACATAATTTTTATGTGCTCATAGCACCTATGTGCCTTCGATTTTTGTTAACACGACAGCTGCCTCCCACTGAGGCAGGGTGACCCAAAAGAGAAACACTTTCACCATCATTCACACAATGTACTGTTCGCAAAGACATAAATAAATAAAACAATATCACTGTTTTTGCAAAGGTGCCCAGATATGACAGTTTAGATGTCACTCCAAACAGCCAATATCCCAAGCACCACCTTTAAAATGCTGGCATTGTACTTTCCACCTCCAGAACTCAAATCCAGTTAACCTGCTTCCCTGACTCCCTTCACAAAAAAGTTACATTGCTCACACTCCAACAGCTCGTCAGGTTCCAAAAACCATTCGTCTCCATTCATTCCTATCTAACACACTCACACATGCCTACTGCATATCCAGGTCTCTTGCACACAAAACCTCTGTTATCTCCTCCCTCCAGCCTTTCCTAGGATGACCCCTACCCCTCCTCCCCTCCACTACAGATTTATAACTCTCTAAATCAACCAGTTTTGCTCCATCCGGTCTAAATGACCAAACTACCTCACTAACCCCTCTTTAGCCCTCTGAATAATACTTTAAGTAGCTTCACACCTCCTAATCTCCCTTAGACATGACATCTCCACTGCCTCCAGCCTCTTTCTCACTGCAGCATTCACAACCCATGCTTCACACTCACGTAAGTGTTTGTACTACTATACTCTCGTACATTCCCTTTGCCTCCATGGATAACGTTTTTCATCTCCACAGAAACCTCGATGCACCACTCGCCTTTTTTCATTCATCAGTTCTATGGTTAACCTAGTCCTTCATAAATCCATCTGTTGACAAATCTACTCCCAAATATCTGAACACATTCACTTCTTCCATACTCCCATCCTCCAGTGTGATATCCAGTTTTTCTTTACCTAACTTGTTTCATACCCTCATCACCTTGCTTTTATCTGTGTTCACTTTCAACTCTCTTTAGACACCCTCCCAAACTTTTCTTTAGAATCTCCAAAAAGCACAGTATTATCAGCAAACAGTAACTGTGTCAACTCCCATTTTGTATTTGATTCCCCATAATTTAATCCCACCCCTCTCCCCAAACCCTAGCATTTACGTACTTCTTTTACAACCCCATCTGTAAATATGTTAAATCACCATGGTGTGTATGTGTAAACATTCCTGTCTAAGGTCTACTTTTACTGGAAAGTAATCTCCCTCTCTCCTACACACCATACTGGATGACAAGTCATGCTGGTGGTGTTGAGCCCAATGCCACATTGCTGTGTGGGAAAAACATGGTTATGGGTGTTAAAATGTTTCATTATCAGTGTGCTGTATGGCTTTTACAGGTTTACTGCTTCTGAAATTATAATAACAATACTCTAATTCACTGTCACGAAGGTCTTGGGAGCACATCCCCCATGAATAACAGTCCTACTGTACTGCATTCTGGTGCTGTATGATCCTTATGGGTTTAGTGCTTCTCCATAAATAAAATAATTTGCATTGCACCTTAAATTTTACAAATGCCAAACCCCATGAGGGATGTTCCTTGATTTTAGTGAGGGGCACTTGATAGAAGATGTTGCATCTGTCTTCTCCTTCCTAGGATCAAACCTGATTGGCTCTCATTTTCCCCATGCACTGTATGACTCTTATGGGTTTTGTGCTTTCCCATGAATGTAATACAGTGGACCCTTGAATTTTGTCCCCCTTGAATATCGTGAATTTTGGAAATCGGCGACTTTTTTCGTCAAAATATTGGCTTGATTTTCGTGATTTGGCTTAGAAATCAGCGGTCGTATGAAATGCCTCCTGGTAATGGACATTGCTCCTGCTCATCCTCCAGACTTGGAAGAGCAAATGGTGAAGGAGTTTAATTTCATCACAGTGAAGTTCTTGCCCCCTAATACACGTACCACTCTCCTCCAGCCCATGGACCAGCAGATCATTTCAAACTTCAAAAACATTACACCAAAGCAATGTTTCAAAGGTGCTTTAACATAACCTTGGACACTGAATTGACCCTAAGAGAGTTCTGGAAAGATCACTTCAGTATCCTCCATTGCATAAACCTTATAGGTAAGGCTTGGCAGGGAGTGACTTCCAGGACGGTGAACTCTGCTTGGAGAAAATTGTGGCCGGAATGTGTCCTTGTCCAAGATTTTGAAGGGTTTGTGGCTGACCCTGACAACCCTATGCCTGTTGTGGAATCTATTGTGGCACTGGGAAACTCATTGGGGTTGGAGGTTAGTGGCGAGGATGTGGAAGAGTTGATGGAGGACCACAATGAAGAGCTAACCGCTGAAGAGCTGCTAGACCCTAATCTGCAACAGCAACAGATTACAGCTCAGGAAATTGCTTCAGAGGAGGAGGAAGAGAGAGGGAAGAAGTTGCTTTCTTCAGAGATTAAGGAGATGTGTGCAATGTGGACTAGGATGGAAAGATTTGTGGAGGAACATCACCCTGACAAAGCTGTTGCAAGCTGTGTATGTGAAATGTTCAATGACAATGTCTTGTCTCATTTTAGGCAAATTTTAAAGAAACTCCAGAAACAGACCTTTCTGGAGCAATTTTTTGAGTGACAGGGGTCCAGTGACTCAAGCTGGTCCTAGTAGCATTAAAAAACAAAGAAGGGAAGTAACCCCAGAAAAGGACTTGGTACCTGAAGGCTTTATGGAAGGGGATTCCCCTTCCAAACAATAATAACTCTTCCATCCTCTCCCCTCCACACATCAACTCTTCAGTAAAGGTAAGTGTCAAGTTATTCTTGTTTTATTCTTCATGTCTCATTGTTTTCTGTGTAGATAAATGTACATTTAACCCTTTGACTATCACAACCCCAAATCCTGAGGTGTCTCCTGGTGTCGCAAGATATTTGAAAAAAAAAAAAATTCTTATGAAATGATAAGAGAATCTTTTCCCAATGGTAATGACACCAAAAGTATGAAATTCGATGGAAAACTTACGGAATTATGCTCTCCTGAAGTTACCGGCCTCGGCGATATTTACAAATTGGCAATTTCACCCACTTTGAGCCCTATTTTTGGCTAATTCCATTGTTTCCGTCAACCAAACTCGTAGCTATTTCTTTAGAACTCTATTTGTTCTATCAATTGAGCACAAGAAAATGCACATTTACCAATTTCAACTACCCAATAAAGTGGCCAGAAACTGGCAATTTGGCCAATTTCATGCAAATTAAAAAATATGCAAATTTTAAAATAGGGTCCAGAATGAACAATGCAGACATTCCTGGCTCTAAAATAACATTTTCTTTGTTCATCAGTCGTGCCTCCAGGCTCCTCTGATATTACTCTTGCTTTCTATTTTGAATTTTTATTCAAACAGAAAATAGAAGATTTACTGTTATGCAGACTACTGCAATATTGTAATTTTTTTTTTTTTTTTTCAACAAGTCGGCCGTCTCCCACCGAGGCAGGGTGACCCAAAAAAAGAAAGAAAATCCCCAAAAAGAAAATACTTTCATCATCATTCAACACTTTCACCACACTCACACATTATCACTGCTTTTGCAGAGGTGCTCAGAATACAACAGTTTAGAAGCATATACGTATAAAGATACACAACATATCCCTCCAAACTGCCAATATCCCAAACCCCTCCTTTAAAGTGCAGGCATTGTACTTCCCATTTCCAGGACTCAAGTCCGACTATATGAAAATAACCGGTTTCCCTGAATCCCTTCACTAAATATTACCCTGCTCACACTCCAACAGATCGTCAGGTCCCAAGTATCATTCGTCTCCATTCACTCCTATCTAACACGCTCATGCACGCTTGCTGGAAGTCCAAGCCCCTCGCCCACAAAACCTCCTTTACCCCCTCTTTCCAACCCTTTTGAGGACGACCCCTACCCCTCCTTCCTTCCCCTATAGATTTATAATAATTTGTAATAATTTGTAATAATTTGTAATAATTTATAATAATTTATAATTATAATAATTTGTAATAATTGTATAAATAATGTCAACTCATTCATGACTGCATATTAGAATGGCTAGTTAGAAATTTATTGGACAATGATGTCATTTATATACTTTTGAACATCGGCAAAAATCAAACATTTCCCTTAATTGGAGCTCCATTTCAAAGGCCTTTTCATAGTAAAACCAATCCAAATCGCCTTCATTTCTATAATATGTTTTCCATTCTGTCAAATGTGACTATGAAAATGAGAATATAACCATAAAAACTATACAAAAATACACCTCAAATTCGGCATTTTAATCAAAAAAAAAAAAAAAACACCAGTTTTTTTTTCTCATTATGCACTACTTACTGCAGGTTTTTTTTTTTTATACTGCACAGACTGACCACACAGACCCATTCTCTCACATGTGGGCCTACCAGCTTTCTCCCGCTTGATTTGACGCTGCTAGAATTTTTGAATATACATGTATATATGTGTCAAACACATTGGCTCATAAGACGTATATATGTACATGTATATACAACCGAAACAGTCAAAGGGTTAATGTAAAAAAAAAAAAAAAAAAAAAATTTAATACTTTTGGGTGTCTGGAACGGATTAATTAATTTGATTTATATTATTTCTTATCGGGAAAACGGTTTTGAAAATCGTGAATTTTGAATTTCGGCAGACTCTCTGGAATGGATTAATCACGAAATTCAAGGGTCCACTATAATTACAAAGCTCAAAACCACCTTTTGAACAAAAATTTTCAACATCAACTGTAACTTTGCCAATTCTTTCTATCAATGTTCTTTCCTCAACATCATCACCTCTATCATCTTTCACCTCTGTTGTGTAGCACTATGTGGCCCTTGTAGGTCTAGTCCTACATGAATATAACAGTACATAATACTTGAATTAAGGATTTAAAATAAACACTATGTAAAAATTTATATACATTTTTAGTACAAAGATCGAAATTTAACATTTGAATGATAAACATCAAAATGTTACATAGAATCAATGCAGGGAAAATCCAACACTTTTCTGTATTCTTTATTTATCAAGAATATAGTAACTGGTTCTGTAATGTGAAAGCAAACTAGCAAGTGCAATTAACAAAACATTTAAAGTACTTTTTCAGACATTTAATATCTGCAAATGGGTGAAATATTTTGGAGATTCTACACGACGTCCTCCAGAGTAGGAAGGGACCAAAGCAACAAAGATTTCAAGGAAAAACAGTGATGTACTATATGTGTGTCCAGGTTTTTCCTGTTATAACTATTATATCAATGGTAAAGTACTTTAATGGTTAAAAAATATGTATTTATTTTAATTATATGCATGTACATTTAAACCACAATAATAACACTTAAAAAAGTTTAACCATACCCAATTTATTCTAAGAAACAACACTGACACTTATATTATCATATTTTGCTCTAGACAGAACAATGGCTGAAATTTTATACAAGCTTCCCCAGTAAACACTACAGCTGTTCATGTTCATCACTCGTAAGTTGCAGGGTGTCAGATTTGGCACAGATCCCTACTATCTCTTTCTCTTTCAATACTTTGCCCATTAGCTTTCAGCTATTGTATCTTTTACACACTCTTAGCACCTCCTCATCCTGCCAATACAATCTTTCACATATGTACTGTATTTATATGCCAACCTAGCACAATTATTTTTATTATGTCCATTCATTGTATGCCCACATACAATTTTAGGGAATTGAGTGAATGGCTCATGATGCTAGGAGTTAACTTCAAATGTTTTAAAGGTCCTTAAACAATTGTCACTACCTTAATTATTGTAAATGATGAGAAAGTACCTTTTTATGAAGAAAATAAATTCTGAAGATATATATATATATAGTATATATATCTTTGTTCAAGTTTATAACCTGCGGTTGGTGTTGTGGCCAGATCTTGAATGAGAAAAATGTTGTGGTCAAATGCTCAGTTAACACAAGATTTCTATTGTGATCAGATCTTGACTGATTATTATTATTATTATTATAATAAAAAAGAAGCACTGAACCACAAGGGCAGATCTTGACTGAGACTTGTATTATGGTCAAGTACTGGGCTTGCTGAAGTTTTTGTTTGGATATCTTTTTGATTCTAGGTAGTAGGTTGGTAGACAGCAACCGCTCAGGGAGGTACTACCGTCCTGCTAAGTGAGTGTAAAATGGATGCCTGTAATTGTTTTACATGATGGTAGGATTGTTGGTGTCCATTTTCTGTCTCATAAACATGCAAGGTTTCAGGTACGTCTTGCTACTTCTACTTACACTTAGGTCACACTACACATACATGTACAAGCATATATGTATATGCACACCCCTCTGGGTTTTCTTCTATTTTTCTTACTAGTTCTTGTTCTTGTTTATTTCCTCTTACCTCCATGGGGAAGTGGAACAGAATTCTTCCTCCGTAAGCCATGCGTGTTGTAAGAGGCAACTAAAATGCCGGGAGCAAGGGGCTAGTAACCCAAAAGGAAAAAACTTTCGTTTTTCCTTTTGGGCCACCCCGCCTCGGTGGGATACGGCCGGTGTGTTGAAAGAAAGAAAGAATCTTTTTGATTATAATAATAATAATTTTGTCTGGATATTAAGCTGAATTTTTGTTCTGGTCATTGGAAATGGCCTATGTGGATATCTTGGGTGTTTATTAAGTGAAATATAAAGACAGATCTTAGTCCACAATTACTGGTAATTACACTATACACACTATTAAATTAGGGAGTGTAGTGTGGTAGAGTTCCTTCTCACACTACTATATATTAAATGTAATATCAGCAATGTACAGCTTGTGTGTGTATCAACTACAGCTTGCATAAAGATCAAGAATACTAGTTGTACAGATAAATCAAATACATGGTAATGTACTGTAGTGGATAGAGAAAACCATTCTTATATTTTCACTTCAGCCGAGTCAACATCTCTCATCAACTTCCCTGATAATGACTACATTTTATTGTTTTGGCTGATATTTTATCAAACATTTTTATTTTATCCGATATATATACTTATTTAGTACAGGCGTGGCAGCTTTAAAATTATGACTGTGCTCGCATGTATTCAGGGCTGAGGCAGTCACCATGGAGCTCATTATTCAGTGAACGTAGCACAAAGCTTGCCACACGTGCTAGAGGGGCTTACCAAGATATTTACAATGTAACCTAATTTTTTCTTTATTTCAGTATATAGTAAGATTTTGTTCTATATTAAATACAATACAGTATATACCTTTATAATGCATGGATTAACATGGTAAACACTAGTGTGTTACCAAGTGTGAAATGTCTTTTAAAGCTGCTTTCTAAAATTCAAAGCCAAAGTCACTGCCGGGTCCCTCCCCCCCTTCTCCATAGTAACACATTTCAATATTCTTTTATTGTCCTATTTTATTGTCATTCATGGGTTTAGTGCTCAGTTTGATTATAACAACATTGTCATTCAACCTATAGTTCAGTCAGTCTCTAGTTCGAGATGGAACAAGTTGCAAAGGAGACATTCTGTGATTACGTATTCTATGTGCCATACTGAATAATAATATACAAAAACTTAGAAATGAATATGGAGAGTGGCCCTTTTTCAATATTTGTTTTTAAGGGAAGATTACAGATTCAGATGTTTTTCTTTATATTGTTTTGGTTTGTTTATATTCCTTTTTACCTTGTTATTGCTTCAATTGTGCTCATTTCTGGATATATTACATAGTTTGTCATGCTGAGCATCTTTTGTTAATAAGAGTTTTTGTTGGGCTAACATTTTTCTTTTCAAAAATTTTACTTTTTGGACGTCCGTTGAAAAATATCACCTTAATTGAAGCAACAATAAAGTAAAATGTTCCAACCTGTAATAATTTCCAAACCTGTAATTGCCTCGTGTTCATTGTCAATGCCTGGGAGTCGCTCATTGTCAAGGCATGCTAAATACATTTTTAAGTTTCTGTTCAGATTTGATCAGCAAATCTGAAAAAATCTGAGGAAAAAAAAAATACAGCCATACCTTGCATAGTATGGGTTTAGAACAGTACAAGTTTTGACATAACATGGTTTATAAATTTTATTTAACCACATTACAAAACATCGGTATGTGTGCCTATAAGGAATAAAGATAAAATAAAAAAATATGCAAGATGCTGTAGCCATTCCATATCAAAAGTGGTTATAAAAAACCATAGTTCTCAAATGGATAATATAGAATGTCTTTTAATGTTATGGATTGAAGACTGAAGCCAGAAAGGAATTCCATTAGGTTGGATGACGAGTCAAGCTAAAGCAACAAGTCTATGCAACATTTAAAAAAGAAAAATGGCAATCAAGGGGAAAGTTTTTGGCAAGTAGTGGCTGGTTTTACAACTTTAAAAAGCTTATGGGACTTATAATGTTTGAATTATTGGTCAGTGTCAGTGCAGACAATGAGCCAGCTGCAAGATATCCTAATGATCTAAAAAATTGACTGAAGAAAATGACTACAAAGATGAGCACATTTTTAAAGTAGATGAAACAGATTTGGTTTTGGAAGATGCCATCATGCAATGTGTCATCACGTTGTTCCAGTGGTTTTTGCCAGTTTTCCTTTCTTGCTCTCTTGTATTGATAAAGCCACTGGATGGCAAAACATCTACAATAAAGATATCCAGATGTTGCACATGTGTCTTAACTTTCATATTGTCAGTATTTTATACCTTTCTTGCACAGGCTGTTACTGGTGGCAGCCCATTGGCCCTCACATCCTATCACAGCCTAGTTGATCTGTCACATGGAGGAGGTACATATCCAATTCCCTCTTAAAGACTTATACACTTGTTCCTGCAGTGTTTATCATCTTGTGGTATGCAACACCAATCTTCCAAACAGGAAAACTAGTTTCCATAGCCTACCAATCTACAAACCATGCTAAAAGATCTAAACTTGGTTTACTTATTAACATTTGTAAAGAAGAAGCAATAAAAAAGTGAACTATTTAACACAAAATGATAAACAGGTAACCATTAGTGATTATGCACAGAGGATGAGAGAATACTGCAGTGATGATGCCTACAGTGACAAATAGATGAAGACAAAGATCACAGGACATATTTGGAGTACAACAACTGTCCTGAATGATTTTATGAAGTACCTAAGTTGACAATTTGGTAAGGAAAAAATGAGGATTGTGAAGATATAGCTCTCATTAAGAATAATAAGTGCATGGACAATTTTTATCTTTGAAAGAGAACATGATACTCTTAGTACAGACTCTGCAGCTTGTTTTAAGAAAATTACTTGTCTGTTTAGTGCTTTATTTGGTTATAATAATTTTAAGAACACTTCACTGGAAAAAGGTAGACAGATTGTATCAGTGGGTCAGGCCACTGTTCAAAGTTACTTAGTGTAAGAACTCTCATCTCACCTCTTCAGACTGGTCTGGTCATTTAGATGCTTCACCAAGGTTCCTGAATAATTTGCTAAGCAGTCATGGATACTGTAAATCTTACTCAGAAGTTAAGAAAGTATCCTGAGCAGCAAGATTATAAGGTACAACCAGTCCAGGTATTACCCATAACCACACTGTGCAATTTGTGACATAACACTGATCACAACATAAGCACACTTGATGGATTCAACACATTCCATGGAATGGAAATAAAGCTGAAGTGATCCCTGGAACTAAACAGCAAACATCAGGACCAAAATGTTCTTTTTACAGAAGATGTATCAGCACTCATGAAGATACATTCAATTTTTTAACAGACCCTCCAATAGACCAACCACTGATCTAGGAAATGACTAATCTCTGCTATGATGACCCCCTAAACTGAAGCTACATCTCTGGAAAATTGAGTTGCCAATGCATTCACCAAAGCCAGGTTGGTCAGGAATGATGCAGGATGCAAGTCAAAGAAGTCATCCAGGACATTCATTCATTATACATCCTCTGATAGTAAACATAAATGCTAGAGACAGCTGTTTTTACTTAACACTATGATTTGTGTGTACAGAGGCCAAATGCCACTGTATAATACTTATCCTCACCTTTGATCAGCCATGAAGGTGGAAAGGTATAAGTAACCATTGTGATCAATGAACCATCTGACGGTGAGCTACACTCATTTGTGTTTTGCATATCAGTTGCACAAGTCCTCTGATGTTAGGGTTAGGCATTCAAGAGCTGCTGAAGAGTGTATATCCTCCAAACTGTGGGGTACAAGATATGGTTAGTGGCAGAGGTGTGGGAAGAGCAGCCAGAGGACATTTTCTTGTTAATACTGCTCTCAATGCCATGATTGCAGTGAAAGCATTCAATTTCTCCATTCTGTACTTCAATTTAGGTTAAACCATGTTGGTTATGCTCATAATTACATCATTTACTAAATCAAGAGTACAGCATATGCACTAATGCATTTTTGGGATAGTTTCCACAAGACTTAGAATTTTTTCTTTGGGGATGAAGTTTAGTGCTAAAACAAATTGAATACAAAAGCACACAGTGTGCCTGTAGATAAAATTCATTTTACCTGTGTTACACCAGTTCCTTTGGTCTCCTTTTTAACTATATGTTCCTTACATATTTATCAATATAACACAAAAATAAATTATTTTGCAATTAGTTCTTGGATGACTCATTTTCCCTGCTAGATTGACTGAACTTATTTGTGTTAAACATGATACACAGTAATTTTAAAGTAAAATTTAATTATTTTTTTTTATTAACACACTGGCCGATTCCCACCAAGGCAGGGTGGCCCGAAAAAGAAAAACTTTCACCATCATTCACTCCATCACTGTCTTGCCAGAAGGGTGCTTTACACTACAGTTTTTAAACTGCAACATTAACACCCGTCCTTTAAAGTAAAATTTAATATTCTATATAAAGATAAAATATTGTCTGCTGTATATAAATTTTTGATCAGTACAGTACAGGCATACCTCACTAATATGGTGGGTTAAGTTCCAGACCGCCACTGTAAAGTAAATATCAAACTAGAGCATATCACAGCCTTTTTTTCACTTTCCAGTGCATATAAAAGCTTAAAAACATGCTTATACTATCATTTATTAAGTGTGCAATAGCATAAGGCCTAACAAAATGATGCAAAGTAAAAAAACAAATAAAAATCGAAAATTGCCAAAAACCATCTTAAGAACGAGGCAAGCACTGAAAATAAACAAGAATGACTGAAAAGTGCCATATTACCGAAGCACTCTATAGTGCCGTATTAATGAGGTATGCCTGTATTACATTTTAATAAAACCATGGCTAGTAAGCTACTAATGCTCAGTCTTGTTTGTAATTAATCATTAATTTTTTATTTTTTTTTTTTTATTATCACACCGGCCGATTCCCACCAAGGCAGGGTGGCCCGAAAAAGAAAAACTTTCACCATCATTCACTCCATCACTGTCTTGCCAGAAGGGTGCTTTACACTACAGTTTTTAAACTGCAACATTAACACCCCTCCTTCATTAATACACATATAAATATGTGAAAGATCACTACAATAACTAACAATTAGAATGATGTGAAGAGTTGATAAATTTGGCAATACAAGGACACAGTTTGACGAGTTTTTATTGAACAAGTTGCTCGACTGTGGACTTCTTCATATCCTACAAAGGAAATCAACTCCAACTTGCATACTCCACAGCAGGCAGGCTAAGAGTTGTTGGAAGATGTGGTGTCAGCTGGACCAGGGCGTAACAAATTAGGTCTCATTTCATGCTTCTCAAGAATATGAAAGCAGCAGTTATACAGACAACACAAACAGAATTAGGGAACTTTCAACATCAAACAACCTCTTCTACAACTCTATTAAAAAACATGTATGTACCAACCCAACCTAATGACACCACCTTGCAACACCTTTGGTCAACTGCTTAGATGAAGTATGTAGGTTCAAAGACAAGTATTTTATCATGACGCAGCTATCACTTGCCATGAAAGGACATATACTGTACTATATATTCAAGCTGTGTACGTTTTCATAAGGAAGTCATAAAGCTCAAACTTACGTTGAATATTGTTTAATAAAAGCAATGCTAAGTGTCCTTGTTTTACTCCAGATATTGATGATGAATATTACAGCAACAAAATATCAACTACATTTATATAGGAAGTGATAAAGCTTATTCTCTAGGCAAAAAATACAAATATAAACTTCACAGCTTCAACAACACAATACTATATGAGAATTATTCCAGGTCCAAAATTTACTACTTCATTATTATGTGAACATTTAATTATAAAAATCTTGATATAAAGCACGTCATATTTAAACTCAACAAGATGCAAAAGAAGAATGTGCTGATAACAATAAAAATTCACCACATCACGAAAAAGTGCAGAGCTGGATCATCCCATACTCTCCACTAATGTTCCAGTCATGGGTTACTGCTGCAGTTCTCTCACTGACTCCAGGAGCCAAGCCAACCACTGGTCCGCCTTTAGCTGTGCGTATAGCTAGCACAGGGGCAGGGCAGAATCCACGAAGTGTGTGTTCAAGACTAGTCGTTGTTGGCCAGTCTAAGTCTCCTGTTAGTTTGCGGTAGTTCAAGTCGCCCTAGAAAATTAAAATGCATGCAATGATTTATATCTTGTAAAGGCTCATTAATGATACAATAATTTGCAATTTGTAATTTTACATCAATAATACTGGCAGATCTGTTATTTAGGTGGTCATAGTTCATTATACAGAATGAACCCAATAAAAGTTACACAATATCTAACTTCAGTATGGAAATATTGTATGTGGAAGTTAAAACAGACATCAGTTTGGTAAATGGTTTGCTGCACTAATAATAATAATAACAACAACAGTAAAGAGAAACTTCAAAAGGCTGCCAGTAGTTGGTGCCACCATCAGCGAAACATTGGTAACCACCACTAGTACACTTTTCACTTGTCTAGACGTAAGTAGTCTATTAGTATTAGGTTAAGTCTGCCCAAAATGCCTCGGCATGATAGTGGCTTTCTTTGCTCCAGTCATATTATGATATGTAAGCACACATTGTAACCTTTGCAAAGAAATAAATAATTTATTTATTTATTTATTTATTTAAGGAACATCCCTTGAGGGGAAAGTTCGCATCCTGAAATTTCGTTCGTATCCAGAAGCAAAAAATTTACCAAACAACGGTTCGTATCCTGAAAAATTCTCATGGTGGGGTGTTCGTAAGCCGAATTTCCACTGTATATATAAACAAAAGCTTCTGCAATATGAGGGCAGTAAGCCAGTGTAATATACTATGGAAGTAGATAGTAAAAGATAACCTAATGCATGATTTAAAATGTAAATATGACAAACTTAATGGGGCTTAGTAAACACTCCAAATGATTAGAAGTTAAGAAGTGAAGATCAAGTGGTGAAGCTGTGTCCACATAAACATAAGTACCGCAAATACACCGGAAAGCAGTTGTTACTTTTCTAAAAACTTATTAATAACTAAGTTCAATTTACCTTAAAGATGATTAGAGATGACTTGCTCAACTGAGAATATAGTTCAGGATCAATCTCCTTCATATCAGCAAAGTCATGACACAAAGTCCAAAATTTATTATTTACAATTTTCCACCGTCCATTGGAAATGTAACTTTGCCATTTGCTGGCCAGTACCCCAGCAGATCCTCCAGTTTCTCTGCAATAAAAAAAAAACACACCCATAAAAGTACAATAAGTACACGTGGCTGCAGACACCTTTTATCTCTAATACTCCTGTAAGGGAATTGCTAAAACTCCCTGTAGTTAACTCTTATACCATCAAGTCATCTCCAGATATTCAAACCATTATCAAAGATGTCTTGGACTCTCCAACATCACACACACTTCAACTTTAGCAACTGTCTGTCACCCAACATCTATACACTTCTCTAGTACATGAATTTTACATTTATCTCCTATGTTCATGTTCCACTTCCACTAATCCTAGGCATCCACTCACTTTTTTTCCTTCTTTGCTCTGTTGTCCCCTTACTTTTCTCCTGCACACTTCTGTGCTTGTATACCAGTATTGTTTCATAAGATGCAAAATTTCTTAGCTTCCAATGCTGCACCCTCCACTGTCCCCTTATATCACAATTTTCTACTGATTCCTGCTGTTCCTACTCCTTTACTCCTTTAGAAAGATTTGTTTATAAAAGAATATAAAATTCAGGAACACTAGACTAACTGACATGCTAAACAGATCCATATAACTGTACAGTGTGTTGCTGTATAGCCCTTGTGGCTTAGCGCTTCTTTTTGATTATAATAATAATAATAATGTACAGTGTGTTAAAAAGTCAGGGAGGAATTAAACACCCTTATCTTACTCCAACACCTACATGTACCTTTACCTTACTCCAACACCTACCAATAATTAAAAACTTTCACTGTTAAACAATCACTTTTTATGAAAATTATACTTCAGTTCATATGCTATTTTACTGCAGCTAGAGGTTTTAAGTATTTTATTGAGAACTTTAGTTTTTTATTAACACATCGGCCGTTCCCACCAAGGTAGGGTTGCCCAAAAAAGAAGAAACACTTTCATCATCATTTACTCCATCACTGTCTTGCCAGAGGCATGCCTACACTACAGTTCAAAAACTGCAACATTAACACCCCTCTGACAAAGTGCAGGCACTGTACTTCCCACCTTCAAGACTCAGTCCAGCTTGCTGGACTTGAGTATATACTCGATAAAAGATTTTCCTAGAACACTCTATGTATGCAGTTTCTTTTACTTTGTTATTTATTTTTATAGGAAACACTCCATCTAAAGAATAACTTCAATAACAGATTTGCTTTCATTTTCATATTGTATAATCTGGCACTGCTCATCATACGTATGCATGTGATGACATGAAAAACTAATGAATTAATATTTTTAACAAATTATTAAAAATATTAATTTTAAATTGTAAAGTCACACACTGCAGCTGAAGAGGTAATGCATCATGGCACCATTATACTAGCTGCAAGTCTTCATTAATAGAATCAAACTTTCAGGATAATAACACCACTGCACAATTTTTTACAATCATGCAATTTTAAAATAGCTGCATTATATATGTACAAATAAAAAATGTGCAGCAAAATGTTTAAATTGTGTACTCTGCAAAGTTAGCTGCCAACATGGAGCATGAAAGTAATGTATGTCAGATGTCTGTTTATCACCTGTACTTAAACTTTTCTCTTAAAGGTACAGTACAAAAAAATATTAATCATACCTGAGTTTTTCAATTGTCCAAGTCAGGTCGCTGTGTGTAGTATCTGAGACGAACCAGGGACGAATCTTAGGGTGAACGGTGAGAGAGGTAACGAAGCCTGCCTCCGTCAAGAAAGCTAACAAGCACAAGTCTGTGACTAGTTCAAATCCTGCATTATCAAGCACTAGCACTGTGGATTAAGAAGTTGAAATCATTACAAATTATGAAAGTCTGTTACAGTATATATTTCTCATGCAAAGAAGTTTTGAAAGGAAAATATATAGTATTTCCAACTCATCCTAACTCATAAGATGAAAAACAAAAAAAATATAAAATTGTGTTTCACTTGTGTGCAAATTTCCATATAGACAATTAAACAGTAAAAATTAAGAGTAATAATTATTAGTTTCATTCAAATGAGAAATAATTCCATAACATTAGCAAAACTAATGTTATGGAAAATTCTGAACATTTTTCCAGGTATTTTAAGCTCAATATCAGTTACCCCTTGAATCTCCTTGAACTGATATATATTTTATTTTTTTATTAACACACTGGGTGTTTTCCCACTGAGGAAGGGTGACCCAAAAAAGAAACACTTTAATCATCACTCACTCCATCACCGTCTTGCCAGAGGTGCGTCTACACTACAATTAAAAAACTGCAGTATATCTCCGCCCCTCCTTCAGAGTGCAGGCACTATACTTCCCACCTCCAGGACTTGAGTCCAGATTCCCTGAATCCCTTCATATATGTTACTTTGCTTATACTCCAACAATATGTCAAGTCCTAAAAACCATTTGCCTCCACTCGCTCCCATCTAACATGCTCATGCATGCTTACTGGAAGTCTAAGCCCCTTGCATGCAAAACCTCCTTTACCCCCTCCCTCCAACCTTTCCTAGGACAACCCCTACCCCGCCTTCCTTCCACTACAGATTTATACACCTTCCAAGTCATTCTATTTCGTTCCATTCTTTTTAAATGTCCGAACCACCTCAAAAACTCCTCCACTGCCCTTTGGATAATACCTTCTCCTAATCTTCAAGCTATGGATTCTCTGCATAATATTCATACCACACACTGCCCTCAGACACGGACATCTCCACTGCCTCCAGCTTTCTCCTTGTCCCAACATTTACCATCCATGCTTTACACCCATACAAGAGAACTGGTACCACTATACTCTCGTACATTCCCCTCTACTTCCATGGATAACATTCTTTGTCTCCACAGACTACTCAGTGTATCACTCACCATTTTCCCCTCATCAATTCTATGATTCACCTCATCTTTCAAAGACCCATCTGTTGACAAGCCCACTCCCAAATATCTGAATACATTCACCTCCTCCATATCCCATCTTTCCTATGTTCACTTTTAATTTCCTTCTTTTACATACCCTCCCAAACTCATTCACAAACCTATGCACGTTCTCTTCAGAATCTCCCAAAAGCACAGTGTTATCAGCAAAAACAACTGTGAAAACTCCCACTTTATTTTAGATTCTTTATCTCTTGCCAACACTTGAGCATTCATTTACCTTCCAACCCCATCTATAAACATACTGAACAGCCATGGTGATATCATGCATCCCTGTTTACGGCCTACCTTTACTGGGAAATAATCTCCCTCTCTCCTACATGGAAACAAACACATATGCAGTTTAATGTGATCCTTTATTGACAACGTTTCACCCACACAGTGGGCTTTTTCAAGTCACAAACAGATCTACCTTCACACACACTCTCCTACATACCCTAACCAGAGCCTCACTATCCTCATAAAAACTCTTAACTGCTTTCATTAATCTACCACCTATTCCATCAACTTGAAACATTTGCCACAGTGTTTCCCTATCCACCCTATCATATGCCTTTTCCATATCCATAAATGCAATGAAAACCTCTACCTTTATCTAAATACTGTTCACTTACATACTTCACTGTAAGCACTTGGTCTACACCCCCTATGCTTCCTAAAGCCTCCTTGCTCATCTGCAATCCTGCTTTCCATCTTACTCTTCTTCTTTCAATGATAACTTTACCATACACCTTACCAAGCATACTCAACAGGCTTATTTCCCTATAATTTTTACACTCTTCATACAAATTTTACATGCCTTTATACAAATTAATTACACATGCTCTAAGTACCTTCCCCTCTTTCATACATTTATTAAATGCACTAACCATTCCAAAACTATACCTCCACCTGCTTGTAACATTTCTGCCTTGATGCCATCAATACCAGATGCTTTACCTCCTTTCATTCTACCCACAACCTCACGCACGTCCCTCACACTCATATCTTGCGCATCCTCACTCGTTTTAAAATGTATTAAACTTTTAGTTAAATATTATTATTTTTATTATTAACACATCGGCTGTTTCCCACTAAGGTAGGGTGGCCCGAAAAACAAAAACTTAAACCATCATTTACTCCATTACATTCTTGCCAGAAGCATGCTTACACTACAGTTATAAAACTGCAATATAAACACCCCTCCTTCAGAGTGCAGGCACTGTACTTCCCATCTCCAGGACTCAAGTTTGGCCTGCCAGTTTCCCTGAATCCCTTTATAAATGTTACCTTGCTCATACTCCAACAGTATGTCAAGTCCTAAAAACCATTTGTTTCCATTCGCTCCTATCTAACATGATCACGCATCCTTAATGGAAGTCCAAGCCCCTCACACACTAAACCTCCTTTACCCCCTCCCTCCAACCTTTCCTAGGCTGACCCCTACCCCGCCTTCCCTCCACTACAGATTTATATGCTCTTGAAGTCATTCTGTTTTGTTCCATACTTTCTACATGTCCGAACCACCTCAACAACCCTTCCTCAGCCTTCTGGATAACAATTTTGGTAATCCCGCATCTCCTCCTGATTTCCAAACTATGAAATCTCTGCGTTATATTCACACCACACATTGCCCTCCACTGCCTCCAGCCTTCTCCTTGTTGCAACATCCACCACCCATGCTTCACACCCATATAAGAGTGCTGGTATAACTATACTCTTACACATTCTCCTCTTTGCTTCCATAGACAAAGTTCTTTGTGTCCACAGATTCTTCAGTGCACCATTCACCATTTTCTCCTCATCAATTCTATGATTCACCTCATCTTTCATAGACCCATCTGTTGAGACGTCCACTCCTAAATATCTGAATACATTCACCTCCTCCATACTCTCCAATCTGATATCCAATCTTTCATTACCTAATTTTTTTGAAATCCTCATCACCTTACTCTTTCTTATATTCACTTTTAATTTTCTTCTTTTACATACCCTACCAAACTCATCCACAAACCTCTAAAACTTCTCTGTAGAATCTCCCAAAAGCAGTGTCATCAGCAAAGGGCAACTGTGGCAACTCCCACTTTGTGTTAGATTCTTTATCTTTTAACAATTATTAAAATCAGGGAAGCACTAAACCTGCAGGGATCATACAGTGAATGGGAAATGGAAGACAATCAAGTTCGAATCCAAGGGAAGGATAGATTCACTTCCTTGGATCAAAAGCTCCTAACCTGCATCAGGGTACTTCCCTGGAGGGAAATTTAATTGGGGATTATGCCCTTAACAAGGGAAAAGTTAGGTGAAGATTTGACCACTTGAGGCCCACCAGTGCCTACAAGTCTCACCTGACCATCAGTGTAACTCAAGCGTGAGCTCATTAGAGCCTTCACTTCGCCCCATTTTTAGAACTGACTGCTAAACCTTAAAGACATAGAAAAATAGCTTTAATTACTTGTCTACATACAGTATATATTGTGGTTATATACTATTACAATACTGTACATGGTATGCAATATTATATGTAGAAAGTTCAACTCATTAATAAGGCTGACTATAGGGAACTACAAAAATATTAATTATTACCTGGTTGATAACAGAATATTTTTTTTTTTTAACAAGTCAGCTGTCTCCCACCAAGGCAGGGTAACCCAAAAAGAAAGAAAATCCCCAAAAAAGAAAATACTTTCATCATCATTCAACACTTTCAACTCACTCACACATAATCACTGTTTTTGCAGAGGTGCTCAGAACACAACAGCTTAGAAGCATATACCTATAAAGATACACAACATTTCCCTCCAAACTGCTAATATCCCGAACCCCTCCTTTAGAGTGCAGGCATTGTACTTCCCATTTCCAGGACTCAGGTCTGGCTATATAAAAATAACCGGTTTCCCTGAATCCCTTCACTAAATATTACCCTGCTCACACTCCAACAGATTGTCAGGTCCCAAATACCATTCGTCTCCATTCACTCCTATCTAACACGCTCACGCACGCTTGCTGGAAGTCCAAGCCCCTTGTCCACAAAACCTCCTTTACCACCTCCCTCCAACCTTTTCGAGGACGACCCCTACAGATTTATACGCTCTCCATGTCATTCTACTTTGATCGAATCTCTCTAAATGACCAAACCACCTCAACAACCCCTCTTCAGCCCTCTGACTAATACTTTTATTAACTCCACACCTTCTCCTAATTTCCACACTCTGAATTTTCTGCATAATATTTACACCACACATTGCCCTTAGACAGGACATCTCCACTGCCTCCAACCACCTCCTCGCTGCTGCATTCACAACCCAAGCTTCACACCCATATAAGAGTGTTGGTACTACTATACTTTCATACATTCCCTTCTTTGCCTCCATAGATAACGTTTTTTGTCTCCACATATACCTCAACGCACCACTCACCTTTTTTCCCTCATCAATTCTATGATTAACCTCATCCTTCATAAATCTATCCGCTGACACATCAACTCCCAAGTATCTGAAAACATTCACTTCTTCCACACTCCTCCTCCCCAATTTGATATCCAATTTTTCTTTATCTAAATCATTTGATACCCTCATCACCTTACTCTTTACTATGTTCACTTTCAACTTTCTACCTTTACACACACTCCCAAACTCATCCACTAACCTTTGCAATTTTTCTTCAAAATCTCCCATGAGCACAGTATCATCAGCAAAAACCAACTGTGTCAATTACCATTTTGTATTTGATTCCTCATAATTTAATCCCACCCCTCTCCCAAACACCCTAGCATTTACTTCTTTTACAACCCCATCTATAAATATAATAAACAACCATGGTGACATTACACATCCCTGTCTAAGACCTACTTTTACCGGGAAGTAGTCTCCCTGTCTTCTACACACCC